AAAGGAGTAAAACGGTCGACACAACAAACTCGTTGTCTAAAAGGACTCGCAGAGCAGGTGTTCTGAAGGGACAAGTGCGTGACCACCACTCTCCACCCATCAACACTATTCCTCTCAGACTCTTTACTGCACACTCTTTGGGCAAAAACGGGGTAATGTACGACTTCAGAAATATACAATCAACCTAAAGAAAAACACTTTGCATGAGTGTTTCAGGGTGCTTGTAAATTACTATTGCTTTTTTTTTTTAAAGTTTGTATGCTTTTTTTTGTTGGTTGTTTATGATTTTATAAATGGAGCATTGCTTTTTCCCCACTTCACTAAAAGTGTAGCCAAAGAAAGAGCTCCACACAGAAGTCTTATTTATTTAGGTTAAGGTACGTTGAATGAAGTGCAATTAGCGTTGCAGAATGCGTGGGAGTCTCCATGCACATTAGGACAGAATTGGAATTATGTTGCAGAGCATTAACAATTGACAAATGTTGCACAGTGAAATTGAATGTATCTTATTAAATTGTTTGGCTGTTTACCGATTTTTTTTTTCTTCTCCCCCCTCCGGGGCATTCCTGCTTGTTTTGGGGGTTTGGGGGTATTAACACGGTACACACCCCATCGCGGGGAAAAAAGGAAAAGAAAAATGTTTTTCAGCGTCTCATTTTATTCCATCTCTGCTAAATTCAGGGTATTCTGGCACTCTGGTCTGATTTACATGATTAGGAAGCTGCTTTTCATAAACAAAAACCAAACGAAAACAGCGAGCCGGCCCTCAAAGTCTGCGTTTTTGATTTCCATGTGTCATGCCTCATTGGGCAGTCCATCAGGAAGAATTTGAGTGCGGCGAGTTCATCGCAGCATACGGCAACGTCGGCCTGTAAAGCAGCACAGGCAGGAGTGTCTTCTGACCTCATCGCATCTATTCATGCTCTTTATCTCGGTTGAAAGTAATAAATCTGCATTGTGACCAATGTGCAGAAAGTGTAAAAAATTGTGGTTACATCAGGGCAATGACTATATATTTTTTTTTTTATTATTCCTAGAACTATTTGAAGTACAGCTAAATACCAAAATAATTCAGATGTAAAGTTATTTTCATTCAGCCAAAACGTTTGTGACCGATAGTTTGCGTCTTTTCACTTTTTCTATCGGATTCAAGTTTGGACAATAACTATGCGACTCGCAAACGTCGATATAACTTCCAGTCAATGTTGATCAAATTAGAAAAAAAAAAATATTCCAAGCTTAAATCTGCCAGGGGTATGAATCATATTGGGTTTAACTATATATTTTACATTAAAAGTAAATTAGACTTCCTTTAATGTCAGTTTGCAAAAAACGGACCCTAAAACATCTCCATAGTCATTTGTAAATTACAATGTCATGTTGTCCATTTAAACCTCCATTTCTATTCATGACAGAATAAGTTTCAGTTTATTTTGTGATTTAAAAGGTTTGTACGGGGTTTTGCGTTGCGTGGAAGGAACGGCGAACTGAAACGCCGCCGCACGGGAAAAATCGACGGGCAGATAAGTGGTCGAGCCGGGGCCCGTTTCTGACCGGCTCGCCGCGTTCGTCAAGTAAGAAAACTTTATATATGACAAGTCTGCAGAAAGACAAAGAAACAAAACAAAAAAAGAAACGCTTTCTGCAGATTTCAAAAAGGGGGAAAAGTGTGGAGTAATAAATTATTCGTCTGCGCGTCGAGCAAGCCCCGTCTAGCCCTGCAGTGGAAACCGTGGATTTAAACAAACTGCGCTGCGGCGTGGAGGCGCAGATTGATCTCTTGATAAAGCGGCTCACCTGCTCCCTTTCTGTTCCTCCCATGTTGCTGCTGAGGGAACTCGAGAAGGTGTTTCGCTTTTTCTTTTTCTTCCTTTCTCTTTTTTTTTTGTCTATCCGTCCCGTGTCGCAGCGTAAACAGTGCCTCCGCGTTGCAGTGTCAACAGTCCGCCCCATGCATGAGCTGATTTGACTTGGAAAACGCCTCTCCCCGCATCCAGTGGTCACGGACCGTTGCTCACGGTCGCAGTGTTTGACCGTACGTGAACCGCATCGCGTTGGGGGTAGGGGGATGGAGGGGGCCGACGTGCAGACTGCAGAGGCTGGCCATCGCCACCATCCTTTAACCAAAGACCAACTATCGCCAACGGCTAATGATTCTTTTGCTAGTAGAAGAGGGTTGGATGCTGTTTTAAAGTCAACTTTTTCTTCCAAGAACAAAAAAATAATAATAATAAAAAAAAAGGCCTTCTTTGACTCAAAACATTAAAATTCAAGCTCATCTGAAGGCCGCGTGATGAATATATTTTCAAAAAAAAAAAAAGTGCTCGAAAAGCCCTCGCTGCTCGACTTTATGGTCCACAAGATGCAGTTTTGAAAATAGGGGCCGACACGTGTTTATAATTAATTATGTTGAGTCTGACTTCAGTGTCATATGGTTATCTTTACTTCTTCACATGCAATCAGAAACAAGACAGCCTTCGGTTTTTGCAGGGTAACACAGAGCAGAGAATGTTGACACTGGCTGAACACGGCGCTCTGTGCGTGCTTCTGCTCAGTGAGCACTTTTCAAAGAAGCTGACGACAGCCAGAGTGTTTTCCTAATGTCTTAAAACAACAACGTCGAGCAGACAGGTGAGCAAAACCTCTCAAACTTGGGATTTTAAGAGAGGTGGAGGGCAGAGGGGAGGGGGAAGAGAAGAAATCAGCAGAGACGAACCCAGCATGTCTTTGTGCATGCACGCACCCTCACTCTGGTAGATTTTAATGCACATTAATCACCGACTGTTTGCATTGGAAAACACAAGCAGAGCCGAGCGCAGATTGGAGGTTCGTCAGAGTGGAACCGCCGAGGTGAAGCGCTTCATACGGAGGCCGCATATTTTGCTGATTTATGGTGATCAAGATGTGCGGGGAATTGAGCTGAAGGTGGCTTTGTTGCCTAGCTACCGGCAATTTTGGGCGTGCATGTTGCAAGCTGTCAGGCCCGAAACAAACATCCACGCTGAGCACTTCATTACGAAAAAAGGACAGGTTGGGAGCTTACGATTTCATCAGTCTGCGAGCCACGGTTGTTCATCTATCACCGCAGGTCCCCAGGCAAAAAAAAAAAAAAAAAAAAGGAAGGCGCCCTTTTTGTTTGGGTGAGGGGAAAAACCCCCACTTAAGGGGGGCAGCTGTCAAATGCCAACGTGGCTCGGTCGGTCGGAGCTACCAGATAAGGTCACGATAAGAGTCTTCGAGGGCAGCCGCGACGCCCCGCGGCTCTCGGACAGTTGTGTTTGTGAGATTGCATATTTGTGGAAAAGATATGCGGGCCGAGGGAGGGAACGTGAACAAAGGACCCGAGGCCTCATTAGGATTTTTCTAAAGCTTGTTGTTTAAGCTTGCACTGGAAGCTACACTCAAGACACGGAAGAGACTGACACTCAGCTGGCAGGCGCAACTTGTTCGGCTGACAGCTAGTCAAACAACAAAAGGCTGGGATGGCAGGAAGATGAGAAGCGAGTGATGGCGCGGTAAACGGGGGGAAAGCCGATACGCTTATATCAGCGCCGAGGTGAAACACGAGCAGAAAAGACGGATGTGTGACAGCACAAGTCGGCCATTAGGGCACGGGGAAGTATGCATCCCGACCGCAGCTCGCACCAGCGCATAAGGAGCACATTGTTTCAACCTTTCAATTTTTTAACAAAACATGGAAACAAAACTCCATATTTTATGCGTAGTTAAAAAAAAAGAAAAGGTAAATTTCAGATCATGGAAAGGTTGAAAATGGTAATTTCAAAAACTAACTTTATGCATTCTGTTGGGATTTCATGTTATTGTGATCAACGCACAGTAGCGCATGACTGAAGTGAAAGGAAAAGGTTTTCTAAATTAAAAAAAAAAAAAAATCTGAAAGCGGCAGTGAGCAGAGTTTGCATTTAACCCCCATTTAATTGGACAGCCTTAAAGAAAATAAGAGACAAATAGTACGCCTGTGTGTAATTTAACTTCGACATGAAGCCTGCTCTGCGAAGGCCTCAGGATCAACGTTTAAATCCAGGTTAGGATAAAATATATATATATATATATAAGAAATGCAGGTTTTATCTGGTGTTTTTTTTGTTTCTTTTTGGGTTTCTTCTTGTAATATTTGATTTGAATCTCTACAGAGAAATGTCACCAATAGTGCCAGTGATGCGCTTTTAAAATCTGTTTGTTGGAAAATATGTGATATTTTAAAAAAAAAAAATCATCATTTTCTATCTCGCAGAAAGAAAAGATCTTTTTTTTGCTACATTTTTTGTTCATCTTTCTTTTAGATCAGAAAAAAAAAGATAAAATGTCGGTTCTTAAAAAAAATACATTTTCGAGAGTAGATATATTAATCAAAAATGACAAGTTGTCTTTTTTCCCCCCAAATAGTTGTGCGATATTTGCAGCTCTAAGCAAGTTTTGTTCAAATGGCCTGAGAGAGGAAACGACACTTTGGGCTGTGAAGGTTGCAGAGCTCTGATAGGAGAGAACGCCAAGAGAAACACAGTAACTATGGAGGAGCTGCACAATTCCACAGCTCAGGTGGGAGAATCTGTTGACAGGACAACTATCGGCTGCAGTGGAAAAACAGCAGTGGCAGCAGCATGCTCGGGTGCTTCCTGTTGTACCGAGAGGGAAACTGATTGGAGACGATAAGAAGATGGATGACACTAAAGAAGAAGTGTCATCACTTCTTCTTCTTCTAATCCTAAAAAGAAGAAGAACCAAAGAGGAGGAGAACCTTCCCGTCTTTACTGTGTGCGTTTGTGTCGTTCCAAATCTGAGGCGCATGTTGGTTTACAAAGTTAGTTACATTTTAATTCATTCATTTAGAGAAGTTTAAATGAAGTTTTTAGTGCTTTGAATAATTTTTTTTTAAATTGAAAGCCTTAAAAATGTTAGTTTTAAAATGTAGTAAGAATTCAAATATTGGAATCGTCTATGAACGGCTTCATCTCGACAAAAGAGGGATAACAGGAGAGTTGTTGTAAAGTGAAGGCAACTACCTATTTATTTAGTCCATTTTTGTAAAAAAAACAAACAAACAAAAAAACAAAAAAACAAACAAACTGACCCATTTTAAACAAGTTGGGGACAAACAGCGGCACAGAAAAAAAATTTGTCTAATAACTTTAGAGCTCCATTTACAAAGGTCACTTTATAAAGTCGGCACTGTTTTGTCTATGCTGGGAGCGTTTGCTAAAAAAAAAAAAAAAAAAAAAAAAAAAAAAAAATTTAATACTTTTTGGTGCTATTGGTTCACACAGCTTTCATTCCTGAGCGACCAAGATGTATTGTCCAAATATGGGAACACTGTTTTGGTATTTTTATAAATCTTAGAAAAAAACCAAAAAAACCAAAGGCTTCATGGTGAGTCACCAATTCAGTCAATGAGGAATAAATTTGGAACAGAAATTACAGGCTTTCGTTTCTCTTCTGTGGTTTTCTCGTTACCAGTGTTTCTGCAACCACATCGACACATATTCGTAGACCAGCAGCATCACCGCTCCACCTGCAGCAAAACACGACGGAGAAGCCCAGTCTCATTTACACAAGACATGAGAGGAGCACTGCTTTTATTGTCATCATATTTAAATGAGGATTAAGGGGATTTGCAGCCTCCATTAGATACAGGAAACGGACGACTGCATCTTTAAATACATGTATACTGATCGCTGAAAGCAAACGTGCAGCGCCTCGCAAAAACATGCACAACCCTTAAACTTCTTCACATTTTACTGTGTTACAAAAAATCCTGAATTTTTTTCAGAGTTTGTGTAGCAGACAAATACAAAGTTGGGCACATTTATGAAATGGTCTGTTGGAGAATATTACGGATCAATCAGCATCATGAGGACAAATGGACTCAGCAGATGAGCCCGGGGTAAAGCGGGTTACAATAAGTCGAGCTCTCTCAAAATCAGGTTCTACAAAGTGTTGACTCAGGAAACTGGAAACAAATCATCTCCATTCTTTTTGGATATTTATTTGTAGAAACTTTCTACTTCCCAACTATGCTTCCCCCCCCCCCAATATATCAATAAAAATCCACAGCTGACACAGAAGTTTGTGGTTGCAATATCTTGAAATGTGAAAAAGTTCATTGGGTTTGAAACAAAAGGCAAGGTACTGTGATACAAGTACCAGAAATGATTTTATAGAAAGCTTTGCTTAGTTATGTAATTTATAATTCCAACTAATGTACCAAAATCAGTGTTTCAAATGTTAAACATTACTGATTTAGGTTTGCACACCAACATTCAAATTTACATTATAAAACTAAAACACTGAGTGTAAAGTGTCAAACGTTTTTTTTTTTACCTGGTCCAAGTCTCATGATCTTGGGAACCAAACCTTTGTACAGAGCCAAGAAGCTGCAGAAAAAAAAGAAAAATGAGTTAGAAATACAGACACACACAAGTAAAGTAATCAAATAACCAAACACACAGAAAAAGGAAATTCAGTCTCAGTTCAAATACATCTTCTTTATAGTCAATAGGAAACGTTTCCTTGGGTTAATTTGCTGATTTCAAACATCAGTGCAGCAGAAATATTCAGCAAATAAACGATAAAGCGTTTATTCTGGCTCAACGCTCGATAAAAGCAGGATCGCCTTTGCTGGCTGCAACTTCAAGGTGACGAACAAGTAAAATCGATCGCTCTTTTGGTGATAACCTGAGAGGGAACGTTCTGCAACGCACACGTCCCCGCTCCTGCTGATGTCGATTGATCTCGCCTCGTTTTCCGTCTGTCTGCTGCCTGAGCACGTCTGTCACCCCATCGGGGACTAACAGGCTAGCGTGGGCGAATACCTGTCCCTTAATGCGTTCAAGGTGATCAGCGGCTGCCTGCCTCTGCCTCGTGCTCCTTGTCCCACTCCCTGCCCCCGCCAATGATGGCGTTAATAAGGCTCGACCCACTTCCTCCCTGGCCCTCTGTCTGATTAGATTGACCCGTGGAGCGCCGCGCGGCTCGTTAGGGTCTGCTTAACGATGTCTCCCATAGGGACCACTAATTAGCTGAGACTGTGTTGTGTTAAGGGAAGGGGACTGGATGTGGCGGCGGGGGCACGGTTTGTGCATGCCCGCGACGAGGCTTCAGTGCCGCTCAGGCCGCTACCCCCACCCCATCTACAAACTAACAACATCCACTAACGACAAACATCTCTTTGGGGTCTTGTCTCAGGGAGCGGCATGGGGGCAAACCAGAAAGCCCGGGGCAACTGCTAACATAACATACATCTTTCCTTGAAACCTCCGTTTGGAGCTGTCAAGTCTCTGGGGCTTGAGAGTACGTCCACAGTTACCCCAGAAGTGACAAACGTCTGCAGTCACTGATCAAATTTATGATTGGCATCATGCTGAGCGCAGCATAGAATTTGACGTTCGTGTTTTACGGCTTTGCATTAAGGGGGTTTTCGCACCTGATGGTCCGGTAGACTCAGTTTGATTACAATTTCAGCTGGCTTGGTTAGTTTTCAAACCGCACTGTGCAAAACGAACCGAGCTCTTTGTAAAACCTGTGTAGCCCCCTTTGCCAGTGGTGGCGACGTACCAAGAACCCCTGAAGGCAACAACATGAAAACCTCAGAAGACGACGAGCGCAATTTCATTCTTCACGAAACGCGGACAAAAATGAAGTGGCGTCAGATGTTAGCGGTTGTAGCAATTGTCTTTATTCTTTAGGAAAACGACTACGAGCCATTTCTCCTGCCGGTGCTAGACTCACATGTTTGTTTTTGTTGTTTTTACCCAAAGTGGCATGTGCTTTAATCTACTTCCTCTGTTGAAGTGAACCACGCTAAGGTTTGCTTCAACAGAACCAAGACCGAGGTTTTTAGGACGACCAAAGTTTGCTTGTAGACTAAAACGTGTGAATGTACCATAAAGGTACATTTCAGAACTTCAGAAGCATGTCAAAAGATTGTGAGCAGCTAATATCCTACCTGAAGTGCATAACTCTCTTACTGACTTCATCTTGCATTCCTGTTGACGTTGCTGCAAGATTTAAATTGGCTGCAACTACTGGTAAGGCATTGACAGTTGAAGTAATTCATGGCAAGATTCATTTCTCACTGAAAATGTTCAGTTTAGCTAAATTTCTTCCTTTTCACGCGTTTCAATAAAGCAAAACAATCCTGCAGACATATCCCTGCAAAGTTCTGGTACTTGTGGCGTTTACTGTTACTTGTTGCTTCAAGTGCAGTGTGATAAACCTGCACCTAAACTGAAACAGGATTCTTGCTACGATTATCAGTCAGGTTTCTAACATTTACTAATGGATAAAGATTCAAGAATAAAGTGACTGAAGAATCCATATTTGAAGCGAGAACTGTAATGTTTGTACTTTTCAAATATCTATAAAAACTCCTGTGGGGAATTCAAGTTGTTTGGCTGCGAGTTATCAGTTGATAAAAACACTTCGAAGATGTCAGATATTACGTTTTCGCCAAGTCTACTTTGAGGTGCATGAAGTTTTGCCCAACTTCCTTTAACAAAACGCAACTCATCTTATTTCTAACACAAATCAAGAACTTTTTGGGCATTTTGTAGCAACTCAGTCCATACTGGTGCAGTTTATAAAACAGCTAACTATGCTAGCTGCATAAACAGATGTCGTTTCTTTAGGTCATCCTTCAACCTTTGATAGATCAATGCACATTTATAATCAGGTTATCTAGAGACGTTTTACACACACAACTCATTAAAAAAACCACATGGATTAGGAATAAGGTTGCATTCAGATTAGGAGATTCTGGAGGATGAAGCTAAAGACTCAGGAACAAGAGCAGAGCTACCTTGAATCATCTTAAAACTACTCAGTTTGTTAGAAATGTTCATGTAGTTTATGTAATGCTGTTTTCTTTAAACCATCATTTCATTTGTATTGGGAAGTAATTTGCCCTGAAGCTGGTAATTATTTAGGCAGGAAATAGTGGTTGGAGTACCATCAATTACTTTTTCTGTGTGAATCGCACCAAGTTTCACACAGGTATAAAAATAATAATTAAAAAAATCCTTCACCTAAAGTAGTAAAATACACAGCTTTCCTTTGATATCATACAGTTATTTTGACAAGACCACAGAGGAAAAGTGGTTACATTTTGCAGTCGTTTCATCTTAAACATTTGAGTTTGAAAGTGGGGTTAAAGGTGAGGCTATGATATGATTGTTTCCTAACAAGTTATATATATATATATATATATATATATATATATATATATATATATATAAATAAATAAATAAATCAATAAAACAAGTTTTAAAACACTGCGTCTTCCCCTTAACGAATACATTTATTTTGTGACTGGGTTTCTGAGACCTTTCTAAAGACCGATTCAGATAATGTTGGTTTAAAGCTTCATAAATCCCGTTTGCATTCACTGCTCCAACACTGGAAACCAGACTTTTTTTTTTCTTTTTTTTTTTTTTTAACACATAAAGAGTCTGGGTTTGGTCTCGACCCCTTTTGAACAAGCGGGGCCAATTTATTCTAAACTCTGACGCCAAGAGAGTTAAGATATAAACTGCTATTTAACCTTTTAACCCTTTAACAGAAGCTCAAACGGGACTATTCCTTCAAGGCACATGTGTCCAGTCCTGGAGGGCCTGCAACTTTTAGATGCGTCATTCACAGAACTCTGTAGATCCCGATTGTGTGAGGACATAACTGAGTTCTTTGACTCAAGCCTGTTGGAACTGGGACGCAATAAAAAGTTGCAGGACGGACGTTTGGCGCCCCGTTATTTTATCGCCGTTGCCTTTACCCCTCTTCGCGGTACACCAGCGCCATGGTCTGGAAGCAGGTGCGGTACTTGATGGCTCCCGGTTCCGGCTGGGGCCCTTGGATGCGGCTCTTTGCTACGTCGAAGGGAATATTCACACATGACGAGATGGTGCCAGACGTCAGGCCGATCGCAAACTTCCTCAGGAACTCTAACGTGGGGTCCTGTTTGGAAGATGAGGTTGCAGCTTATTGGTTTGACAAGCATAATCTTCATTGGAAACGTTTTGAGAACTAAAAAAACAAAAAATACACACACACACACACACAAAAGAAGTGACACCAAGTTAATACACACAGTAATTTGACACTGCATTTTTATGCGAGAGCGAAAGTGAAACAGAGACGACGGGATCGGAGCGCATGATTTCAAACCTGGCATGAAAGCCCGGATCATTTTATGGCGGTGGAAGGAGGGGCTCAGAGGGGCAAATTTGCGCTTCCTGACTGTGGTGCAGCGCTGTGATTGGCTGAGCAGAACCACATGTTCTTTGCGGAGCCAAGACGGAGGATTTATAAACAGGGTTCACGCAGGCAGACTAGGGAGGCATATGGGGACAATTTGGGTAATTGGCCTGTGACTCGGCACAGGGGTATTACTGTACCAAAGAAGCCCAGACTCGGAGAGCTCTGACAGCTAATTGGCCAGGATATTTTTACAAATGACAGCAGCTTCTCCGGTCCAGGGCTTTCTCAAGAGGCTGGACACCCCGAGAGCTGTGGTAAATCAACATCTAATCCCACTTCTTCTGTTTTTTTCAAGTGGGATGCGGGTTAAGGGGGTGGCGGGGGGAGGAATATAGCCACGGCCTAAGTACACCCATCAAGCCACTTCCTAACAGCCTTAAGCAAACATCTCCTCACACATCCCCTGGTGAATGATGGCAGTGTGCTATCTGCCTCCTATGTGCTATTCAAATGTCCGCACAACAGAAGCCCGGGCTCGGTAATCTAAATTTGACTATTGACATGATTGACTTGAAAGCTCATTGCTCATGTTGCTGACAAGCTTTGAGCAATGAAACTTTAGCTCAGTCTCTAAAACACACATTTACAGTGCTGTGTCAGGCTCACATTTTGTGAAAACTGTAATGTATTTCATTAAAACGGATTTTTGACTGGCCAGTAGAAATTAGTGCATGATTACAAGGTCGAATAAAACTAAAGACAGGGTTTTAAATAAAAATTAAATCAGAACTGTGCAGTGTGAATACGTATCAAACCCCATTTCGTCTAAATAAAAATAAGTGAAACCAATCGCACTGAGAAATCATTTGTTTGTTAAAAGAATCCAACTTTGAGCCACTTAATTTCATATTGATTATTGGCATAAATAAAGTCCAAGTTGAAAGGAGAAAGAGCAAACATGTGGAAGCTGCTCCGGCCAGAAGAGACAAAAAATTAAACTTTTTACCTTCTTGCAAAATCCCGTTTTGCATAAAAATCATTAAAAAAAATATTTATGCAAACCACCCATGGTGGTGGCAGCATCATGCGCTATGAATGCTGATATTCTGTTGAGACAGGTAAGCTGTCTCCGTCCATCTAATGAGGAGACGGATGGAGGACAACCAGGACGCACAAAAGGTTCACAACACGACGCTGAACATGCAGCCAGAGCTACAGCTGAACGGTTTAGCTTGAAGCATATTCCATGTTCACAGATGAAGCGACTGAGCACATGAGTTACTTCACAAAGAGAAAAGGGGATAAATTTCAGTCTCTAGATGTACAAAGTTGGTATCGACATAGCCCTAAAGACCTGGAACTACACTTTCCTTTATTTTAAGAGTATACTCTATAGGTCTATAAAACACACTTAAGTTGTAGCAAACGATCTGACAAAATCACAAGAAGTTTTAAACAGTATAAACTTTAAGCAGTGACTTTTACAAGTCACTGTATATTTTAAAAGCGTGTGTCGTTAGCCTCTCGCAAACAAAACTCCTGCACCGCACACATAAATGGATGAAGCCTACAAGCAACGGCCACAACCCAAGAAGAAAGTTATTTAAGTCGTCTAGCCACATAATCATTATTCACAGAGGATGGCCACTTCGATGTACATTATGCAGCTTTGGAAAAAAAAATTGGAAAAATACAACAGAGCCGGGCCTCCCACTGTAACCTCCTCTTGAAAATAGTACGGTTGTCTGCTTCCAATTAGTTCATTGGACTTCTAATCTAATGCTCTGGATTGTACATGTGGAAGTGGCGTATGGTAACGTTTCCATTAAACAAAATTAACTTTTGTTTGGGCCATCAGGCACTGCCGGATGTGTAATCCGAAACTTTGAGGATGTTATGAAGAGCAAACAGACGAGGTATTAGTGGGGCTGATCTTGGAAGCTTCTCTCTGATTTCTGCTTCCTCCGTGCCGTGCAAGCTAATCATACTGTTAAACACTTGTTATTCTCCCGCAGCAATGTGGCAAGGACATGTGAGGATCATAGAGGCTGAGGTTAGCCAAAAGTAGGCAGAGTCAGGAAAGGTTAGGCAGCGCTGAGGCACAGCAGCAGGAATGTGCCGCAGACGAAATTCCACACAGTGCAGATTTTTCACTCGCATATTACCGGGTTGGCCGGGATCGCGTCCTTGACATTGAAGTAGAAGCCAAAGTAGATCATGTTGAAAACTCCGTGGCGTCCCAGTGTTGACGTTAACCCTTTATTCAGACCTCTCAATCCAAAGCCGTCTGAGTCGATGATACGTCGTGCTTGGGCGAAAGCGGAGGGTTGCTGTCGAGAGACAGAGTTGTAAAGGATCTCGTTGAGGAGCCGTGAGGAAAAACGTGAACAATTAAGCAACGTTTTAAAAGGTAGATTGGCATTTTCTTTCACTCAACCTCTTTGAAGGAGTCTCTGTTGGCCTGGAGACTGACTTTCACCACTTCGAATGGGTTGACGATGAAGGCCTCGGTCAAGCCTGAGCCGAGGCCGGCTATGGACAGCGCCTGGAGGGGAGATGGACATGATTTAACCCCGAGAGTGAGAGGGTAACATCTGGGCAAAGATGGAGCAGAGCAGAGAAACCGTTTAACTCAGCGGTGAAGCAATGTTTCTAGAATTTTTTTTTTTTTTTTCTTTTTCCAAAATGCAAATATGTCTCTGTCATGGTTAGACAAATTGTTCCCGAAGACACGCAAGACACCTGAGGGTGTTAGCTGACAATATGCTAGATGTTATCTAGGAGGGGAAAGGAAGGCGAGTGGAAAGAGGAAGCAAGACTGTTGCAGTTTTACGTAATTTGTCCTGAAGAAGACGACCACTGCAGGTCGGATTACTTCATATACCTGCCACACAATTAAAAATGGAACCTGCACCACCAGATGTATTTGCACCGAGCTTTGTATTTCGGCGTGTTTTTGTGTCTGTGTGCAAATGTGCATGAATGCATGCTCGGCGAGAGGCGTAATGGGAACATGTCGAGAACGTGTCTGAAGCTCATTACTCTTCCTGCGTCTTTATCCCGCTGTCAGAGCCGCAGGACCCATCCTCTCAGACATGCCTCACGATGTTCACACAGCCAAGCGGCCATGTTTTAATTCCTTATTTGTATTATTACTGTGTGTGTCCTCATTAATCAGAGTGAAGGCATTCAGCTGTGCCGCGCTGAATAGGGTTGGGAGAAAGAGAGACGGCGCACTAATCTGTAATTAAATTGCGCTAATGATCTGATGTGAATTGGTGCGCCCGATGCGCGCGGGCCTCTGGGGGATTTGAGGTTTGCAGCTCTTGCAGGAAGAAGATGGTAAGGGAGGAGGTGGAGCAGAAGTGGAACAAGAGCTTGATGGATGAGGTAGGTAAACATTTCTCCACCACTGGCTGTAAAGCCAGCAGAGGATGTTTTCTGTGTGGAGGTGGTTTTGATACGGACTTACAGGTAAACCATCCATCATGGCTGACAATTGACCCCCCCACTAAATTTTTGGGCGTGTGATAACCACACCCCGGGAACTCAAATCTGTCCATTTCCAAACCTGGGACTGAATGAGCAATCGTCTTGCTGGCGTAAAGATTGTAAAACTATTTGTGGAGTCACTGGAAGTGGTGTAATCTGCTTCTGAATGAGCAGCCGTGGAGGTCAGCTTACGACAGATTATGGTCAAATCGCAAACGTATCAGGTACAGGCAGGTGGAAACAGAACAAAAACAGATTCCACAGTGCACGCTAAATTTGAATATTTCAAAATAGATATTTAAAATTACACGAGTTTTGGATCTGGAAATGCCTACAAGGAAAACAATCCATCACTGATGCTTCCATGAGGAGGATGATAAATGGACTTTTGGCGTGCCAGGCTTTTTCTGCATCATCCTAAATATTTATACTGGAATCTGTTTCTCTAAAATGTTTTTATAAGTCGTTTTCATGTCAAGTCAATGACACAGTTAGGTTTAAATGTCAGTCCATGGACTTTCTGCGTGGAGTTTGGATGTTCTCCCTGTGCATGTGTGGGTTCTCTCCAGGTACCCCCAGCTTCCTCCCACAGTCCCAAAACATGACCGTCAGGTTAATCAGTCCCTCAAAATCCTCCTTAGCTGTGAGTGTGTGCATGGCTGGTTGTTCTTTGAGTCTCTCTACTGGCCTGAGATGTATTGGCAACCTTTCCAGGGTCACCTAATGATCGCTGGAGATATGCACCAGCCCCCTGGGTGCAGTCAATGGATGGATGAATTATTTCAGGAGAATTACATAACAGCACCTCTAACTTCCATTATTAACTTACACATACCTGGGAATGTGTTGTTTCTGGGTTGTGTTTTGTTTTCAGTTTTACTCATAAGGAGGAGAGTTGTAGATTTTAAATTATTTCAGAGTAGCATTGAGATTAGAAATCTTCTTTATAAGAGGCATCCTGCCGCACACAGACTTTACAAAATATTCACAGCAAAACATTAAAAGTTAACACTGTAGAGAATAAGTTAGTTAAGAGATTAAAACTATTAAAACATTTAGTTAAAAAATTTATTGAATTTGATTCCTTCTCAAAATCAGTAAAACAAGGCATTGTAATGTATTTAATTAATATTACACATGACAGACCAACACAAATTATTATTTTTGAAAGCGGGTGGATGACGGCACTCTTCAGATAAACTGACCAGAAATAAAATAAAAGAAATGTTTGCTATGTTAAGTACATTTAGGACCGAGACACAGAAAAACAGTCTTGAACAGGCAAGCTGGTAAAATGTCCAGAAAGCTTTCATGGCGCTAACAGGGTTAGCTGAGCCAGGTAAGGAAACAATCTGAAACAAAAGGCCCAGCTGGAGAGGGAACTGTGCAGACAAATAAATATTGTACTTATCTTTCTAACTTTGTCTATGGAAAAAATAAATAAAGTCTACTTTTAGAAAAAAGAAAAAGTTGACTGTATTATTAAAAGAAGCTACAAAAGAAATACCTGAAATGGGTTTTCGTCCACAGGTGTCAAATTTTTCTACAAGTACGCCTTAAGCAGCGGATGTTATCATTTACCTATGGCGTGGTGTTTGAGACGGGTTATGGTCTCTTCTTAACAGGGCAGATAATCTCTAAAATAACAGAAACAATCCATCTGAGAATCTACAGCACTGAAAGGAGCCAAGAAAAGATTAAAATCAGTGGGAAAAAAGGTCTGCTGTCGAGGAATTTAAAAAGCTCTCAGAGGACATGCAATCAATTTTGAAACCTAAAGTAAAAACAAAATCCTTTGTGTCCTTCTGAGTGAGGAAGTCCTGATAAATACTGAATAAATTTAAGTCTATAATATTGATAAAGCTCTAAGCAAAAAGGTCAGTGTCATCAAAATTCCCAACTTTTACAGCTTGAGAGTAGGTGATAAAAAGTCACTAAAATCCATTAGTACGGTCCATTTGGACGTGATAAGCCTCTGCACAATGACAAGTAATCAAGAAACCAGTAACATCGCAGAGTTTCAGGTGGAACATATCAAAGTTGGTGAAATGATTGTAAAATCCTCATCAGCACAAAAGCCAAACCAACGAGTGGTGAGAGATTTATGGTGTCGCTTGCCAACGACCCCATGCTTCCAGAGAGCTTCACCTGGACACCGGCTCTCTGTCCTCTCTTCCGCCCATCAAAGTGTCGCGAAGAATGCCTCCATAGGAACCACTCATTGGTGAAAGTCATACATGTAACATGCCCAATAGAAGATGAAAAGACAAAATCTGCAGAAAAACAATGGCAACCAGTAGGAGCAAAGCCAAACAAAGGCGCCATCCACTCACTGGGAAACTGCAAACCTTCCCGTCAGCTCTGACCCAGCCTCACTGTCCCTGCTCAGGAAAAAAACATCTGCCACTGTCACCACCATGTTTCAAGGGGGGTTTGGAATATTCAGGGTGATGTGCGGTGTTAGTTTCCTGTCAAACATTGTATTTTGCACGTGGGCTAAAGAGTTGGTCTCATCTAAACAGATGGCATTCTTCCACGTTTGCTGCGTCTGTCTGCAAGCAGAACTTCTTACGTCTTTCTTTGAGTAATAGCTTTGTTCCAATCTGGGAAAGAAGTGGCATGGAGCACACCACAAATGTTAGGCAGGTCAACAAATTCTTTCCACTGAGCTGTGGGCATTTGCAGCTCCTCCAGAGTCATGCCATTCTGTTCTCCTTTCCAGATGATGAGACAGAAAGTGCTTTCTGAAATGGAATATTGTTCTAAAACCAAACCCTGTTTTAAACCTCGCCACAAATTTACCTCTGATTTGTCTGCTGGGTTCCTCAGTCTTCACGATGCTGTTTGTTCACTAATGTTCTCAAACCTCCAGGATCTACATAAAACAGCTTTATTCGTAGTTAGATTCAATTACACACAGAGGGACTCGGTGTACTAATTATGTGACTTCTGAAGACAAAATGACGCACTTTTTTATTTTATTTAGCAAAAAAGGGGGCTAAACGCAAATGCGTCACATTTTTGTAAAAACCGAAAAAACCCCAAGAACTTTTCCTTCTACTTAAAAATTTTGTACTGCTTTGTGTTGGTCGATCACATAACATACAAAGAGGTTTGTGGCAGTCCTGTGTTGTAAGTTCTTAATCATCCTCACAGAATGCTAACCAATAAATTTAACCAAAAATTGCCAGCGGAATAAACATGGCATTTGACAAATTTCTAAATATCGTTGGGATTTTTTTTTTTCTTTTTATTCGGCAAAGATAAAACCTGAGCTAAGACCGAACCTCACAGGTTTTCAACAATAAGTTGAACGGCTTATGCGATATTTATACAAGCTATTATATATTTTTATTATACACCAGTGATAGGCCTGACATTTTGGAGTGTGTCATTCATCAGGAATGCTTTCACATGTGCTTAACATTTAACAAAAGTGGTTTTCCGGGCTTTTATCATTTAATCCCTAGTTAAAATATTTATTTTGTCCATTGCCACCCGATATGTCTTTATGCCCGAAAAGAAAAGCAATGTTATATTTGTCATACAGATATCGAAGAACTGTAAACTTGTTAAAGTAAACTATCAAGCCTCTGTACAATGTCGATAGATGTACAATAAAAAAAAAAAAATCTGCTACGAGTGACAGTAATTTCCCTTCTAAATGTACTTGTGCGTAGCTCATTGTTGAAGTAGCAACTGAAGGTTTGTAAGAACATTTGCACTCACATGACATAATTTGCCTGGTAAAATTTTTTTTGGCCGTTCATGTTTGCTTTAACCGACTTTGGCAGCTAAGCAGACGTCAGATGAACTTTTCTTCCTGGTTCTGTGCGTGTTTGTGTGCTTAAGCGAAAGTGTACTCAGGTGCTTCTGTTTGGCACACTCACCACGCCAGGAGACAAAGGCGTCAGACTCAGCGCCTTCTTGTACTGCTCGAAGGTGAAAAACTGTGGAGGCAAGATCAGGATTAACGACGTGTCGGGAAAGTCACAAAACAGGCAACGCCATCCGTGACGACAACTTTTCTGTCCTGGTTAATATGTAGGAACAAGGAGGTTGTGGGTTTAGGATGAATACTTGGAAAAAAACAACTCATCCAAATGTTGGATGTTTCAGCATATACCGTCAGGAACTCTTTGAAATACCAGGAATTTCAAACGGATATCTAGCGGCGGCTACGTGTAAACTGAAAAAGAGTCACCATTAGGTCTTTTAGCAAGGTAACGATCCAGAACAACCAGATCAGCACAGAAATGTTTGGTCAGACACAACATCAAGGATCCACGATGTAGAGAAATAGCGCAAAGCAAAATATTCAAAGTTCCCTGTATGCTCTAAATCTAAGAATGTGTCATATTTTACTGGAAAACATAGGTTGTAAAAATTATGCAATTCAAGGGTAACTTGAGTTTTTCCACTGCTAATATTTCTTAAAATATAATCCACTGAATAAATATAGTCAGGTTAAATGATTCACTTTAAAAAAAATAATAAAAAATTAAGTTTAGAGTGAGATTATGCTGCTGAAATACAAGATTAATTTAGGCACAATAAAGATGTTATTGTGGTGAAGTTCACTGAAACTGTTATCGGTAACAGGAAGATGTCGTTACTGTGAGCTGGTGGAAAGTATCTAAATCCTCTGAGCGGTGGTAAAAACGAATAAAGTTTGTGTTTCTATGAACTCATGCTGGTTGAGTCTGCTATGCGCCTCCATCTGTCAGATCAGCTGTAACTCACCAGTGCGCTTTAGCTCTGTGGAGGAACCTTTTGGATTTTGCATCAGTTCTGCAGCAGCATAGAAAGCCGTAGGTTGCAGTGTGTTGCTGTTGTTAAAGAATGATCCTGGCGGAGTCGCCAAATTAGCCGTTGACGTGAATTGATACGACGGTTGTGATTATCCTGTTAGCTTCCACCGCTGGAAGGATTTATGAAACTTTCCACGAAGCTTGTGGCAACATGACATTTTTAATAGCTTTACAAAGAAACCCAAACTAACCCTTCAGGGTTTCTGAAACATTTTCAAGTGCACAACCCATTACATGGCGCTACTTTAAGATTTGAGATTCTAACTGGACTCCTAAACATCCGGCTTAATCTCTTACTTCGGCAAAGGGCATTTCCTCTAATTTGTAGAGGAAATAAGAGCTGGGGTGGCTGGAGAGCGTTAATCTGCGCCAATATTTTGGTGCAGCAATGTCTCACCATCAGCAGTGTTGCTTGCCATGTGAGCGATTACCCCATCTTCTCAGTGTGAGTGCTTATTTATAAAGTTCACTTTGTCTCTGGCGTCTCATTACAGAGCAGCATAGTGCCAAGTAGCGCTCTCCGTCTGCACCCCTCGCTCCCAGCCTAACCTCCAATGGGTAATTCTGCTCACCTATAACTATCAAAAGATGACGTTCATGCCATGGCTTACAGCAAATACTTGTAAGTCAATATTGGGTTTGCGGAGAGGGCAAACAGGAGTGTCTAAAGAGGCAGACATGGTTGAGGGCGTTATGTGTTTAATCAGCACGTGTGTTCTATGTAACAGCAGTTTGAGTGTTTTCATATGGTAGTACGGCAGCAGCTCACAATGAAACTAGATCCTGGGCCTTGCGTGACATCCTGAGAAGCTTTTCAGCTTTCCATAGACAAATACACACATCCTTCATCCTACCTTCACTGCTCTCTTCGGTGTCTCTGCCAGGATCGGAGGCAGGATTCCCTTGTAGAAGCCAAAGATTCTGCAGGGAGAGAAAATAAATTGTTGCGTCTCTCGTTTTCCTGTCAGCTGCTCGGCTTTTTTTAAAAAAAAAAAAAAAAAAAAAAAAATCAACCCTAAAAGACGTCTACTTTATGACCGTGAGTGTCAAGTCAACATTCAGGGTGAGTTTCACACCAACAAGCGTGGTTTTAGGTGGATGGATTAAAAACCAGATCAAACACATTTCCTTATAGCATGAAAATCCCTATACATATAGCACAGATTTAAACGGAAGCCAATAAATGTCAATGGGAAGCTTAGCGGTGGAGCAGTGAGAACCTGATCACAAAAGCAGAATGTTTGCAGAATTTAAAGTTGTTTTTGAAAGCTTGAGCACCTTCCTCTCACAGTCCGATTTTCAGGTCAGGTCAAGTCATATTTCTAAGTTTGTGTGTAAAGTGTAGGCATTACAAATACCCAAGTATCTCTTTAGATAATTACTATAGAATAAGGGTGACGACTGGAAGCGAAATGAGGAGAACAAGCATCTCTACAATACTGGCAAAATGACGAGGGAAAGATAAGAGGATGCAGGTAAAGAAAAATGAGAAAACATTCTGCCATTACATAAAAATTTAAAGTACTTTATCAGTCTATAGAATATGAAAAAAAAATGGAGGCATACTGGGTTGTTGAAAATAGAGTGGATTTTTTTTCTATATAAACCTTAATATTTGAGTTTAAAAACTAATGCTTGAAGATTTAGCTTTTCTGTAGACTGCTGAGGTAATATTTAGTCAACCACTGTTTTGGAGAACTGGTCCACATATGTTACAAACACGTTCTGGTACCTGGGTCCAGGTATTCCTGTCTGAAAGGCTTTGCTGAAGAAGCATAAGATTTAACGTCATTCCACGAGTTTCCCCATTAGATTAAATTCCAGGGATTGGGCTGCTCACACCAAAATAATGTTAATCTTGTTTGTCTCTGGCGCTTTGTGGGTGGTTGTCTTGTTGAACGACATATTTTAAAAGGGCATGTCGTCTTCGGTATAACATGAACTCTTCAAGTCTTGTGACATATTCAGGCCTGGTGACATGTAAAAAGGCCTGACATCATAGCACAAGAATCAGCCCCACACTGCGATATGTTTGCTGTGCTCTGTGACTTGATTCCTGTCGCACTTAATTGTTTAAGCTCATTAAAAAATTTCTAACATCAAAAACAACAATAACAAAATCTGTTTTCATAATGAGTATTTCCTTTAACGAGGAGAAAATGCATCTGAACCCAAGAAACCCTTCTGCCACCCAACAACGGCCGTTAAATGTTTCCCATTACTGGTACCAAGTCTTTCACATCACCGTGGAGGAATTTTGACACGCTCTTCTTTGTAGACTTGTTTGTTAAAATAGGCAACAACAACAACATCAGCATTCTTGGTAACGAGCTTATGACATACTGGCATGGATTAACTAATCGTCATTATCATGCTCTGCATGTAGCAGCATTACTCAATTTGAGGTTTTTGGAAAGTTAGCAAAGTTTTTTTTTTTTTGCCTTTTGGTTCTGCTTATTTGCTGGTCATGATGCAGACGACTGTGTAGCTCAGGCTCGGCAGCAGCCCTCCCCTCGGTGGTCAGATCCAGAAGTGTAACCAGGGTCATTATGCGTACTCTCGTGGTGTATTCAAACAACGGCTGACATGTACCCACCACCACTACATCTCAAAATGGTGTTTTTTTTTTGTAAAATAAATGAATAAATAAAAAACACAAGACAAATATTAAAGCTGCAAGCAGCCTCGAGTGGCCCTCGCAGCCAAGCGCCGCTCTGGCCTATAGCCACCGCGGGGGTTCCAGCACTGCCACCCACCTGCCGCCGCGCAGTTAAAGTGCGCGTCTGCCAGGCCATACACACCGATGAGTTCGTCATCGCTCCTTGACGACACACCAAAAATCTGGTGCAGATCGGCCAATGTAGCAAGGAGATATAGCTCATTGAATGACCTAGGGGGCGCAGTGGAGTCAAATTACAATTCAAGGCTGTTGGGCTCTTTAGCGGTCAATAAAGGTCATACATATCCAGTTTGGTACCAATCGGATGTTCCATGTGTGATTTAGAGACAACCGTATGCAGATGGCGAGGGACTACAACTTGGAATTTTTCCACGCTCACATGCTTCAGCCAGCATCAGAGTTCATCATCATCTCATTTTATCTCAGGTGGCACAGGATTAAACCCATATGACTTAGAGAGTAAAAGTAAGACATACAATAGAAAAAACAGGTGACTTCCTGTCGGAAGTGGGCGGGGTTAAGGTGATGTCATCAATTGACCATCTAAATGTAATCAGGGCTGGTCTCCAGTCAGCCATAGGAAGTCTTATGCAGCTGTAACCTTCTATGTGGAAGTTATTGCATCTTGATGTTTCATGGCGAATAGTCAAAGTTTGGCACTTAGCCACGCCCACATGCTTTGATGTACAAAAAATCCTGTGATAACTTTTGACCTTCCATGTCTCAAGAGTGTGCTCAGTGAGTTTGAAGTCTGTATCTCAAAGGCTGTAGGAGGAGTTCGATCAGATGTGACGTCTATGAAAAACAGGAAATGACGGATTTTATCCAAAATGACCGACTTCCTGTTGGGTTTGGACCATAGCTCCAAGAGACTTTTTTGTAGGTCCTGTCAAGATAAACATGTGTACAAAGTTTCATCTTTCTAGGTTAAAGCATGGCTTGGGGCTGATCATTTAAAATATTCTAGGGGGAATTAGGCCACGCCCACCAAATACTGCACTGGATTCCTTTTCGGGGATGGATAAGGATGCGTCCTAGTCAGTTTGGTGCAACTTGGCTTGAAAATATAGAATTTAGAGCCAAACGTATGGCGACGGCGTTACAGGTCACTTTGCCATGCCGCCATTGCCACGCCCTCCTTTGAAAACTCTTGGCACTTTAAAGCAAGTGAGACCAACATGTTATCTGTCATCCAACACAGAATCATCTTGATTAGGTCGAGAGGGCCAGAGATGGAGCTTTCCAAGGAAAAAAAAGGCACTTCCTGTTCTGAGGTTGCGGGGCTTAGATGATGTCAAACTATGACGATATAGGATCATAAGGGATCCAACCAGGATCACTCATGTCAAGTTTGGTGCAGCTGGCCTCAAAATTGTGGAATCCACAGCCAAACGTAAGGACACGGTGTTAGAGGTCATTCCGCCACGCCGCCACGCCCACCTACTCCATCAAAAACAAACTGTGTTGGAATCCACATTACACCAACATGTTTTCTGTCTGTGGAGACAGTTTCATTTTGATTTGGTCAAAGGGGTCAGAAAGGGACCGTTCAGAGTAAAACATGACACTTCCTGTTCTCAGGGGGCATGGCCTAAGTGATGTCATCATTTGACCATTGGGTACTGTAGGGGACCCGATGATCAATCACTGAAAGTTTGGTGCCTCTGAGTTTTTGTGTAAGAGTTATAACAGTTTTGTTTTTCATGGCGAATAGGTGAACTTTGACCCCAGGAAACCCCCCTTTAGCAGGCGCGAAAACGCAAACCTTTGATAACTTTTAATCGGCCATGCCTTATGAACCAACTGACCAAGTTTGAAGCTGATCGATCAAAATCCCTAGGAGGAGTTCGATCAAATGTGACGGCTGTAAACGGCCAAAATCGGGTCAAAATCGGAACTTCAATCCAAAATGGCAGACTTCCTGTGATACTTGCACTAAGCTTTACTGTAGTCCAATTTGTGAGGCACAATTTGTTCATCAGTTTAATACCAAACATAGTTTAACACACAGCATTTAGTTGCAACAAGGAACCAGTTGAAGGATGGCACTTCAACTCAGTTGCTCCATCCCTCTGCACTTTATTCGCCACACAAATAGCACTCATACACAAAACACTTATAAAGCCGTGCATACGGAAGTAGTTTGTACCTCTTTTTGCTAAAGGCAGTGGTTTTCCCTTTTCAAAATGTAAATATGACATTTTAGCCGCCACCTACATAGCAGATACAGAAGTAACAAAGAGATGCAGCTAAATATTTCCTCCTACTGATCTCCTGGCTCCCATGAGAAAAAGATAATCCTCAGGACCAGAAAAACGACTACCAGGAATGAATCGCATTCAGGAAGGGATTTCTAAAAGACAGTGAAACAATTCATAATTTTTTACTGCAGATAAAAGGTCGATCCAAAGTTTGATTTAATCAGGTTGGAAAATGATCAAAAGTACAGAACAAAAATAGAAACTCATGCTGCCTTGAACATAACTGTGTCCCATTATTTTCAGGTAATGAACACAAGAGTATTTAGCTTTTATCTCGTGCGCTCTTCATGTCTCCTCTCACCGTCAACGTAAAAGCAAAGCTGCTCAATCCCCTACAATGAGGACAAGTCTTATTCAAAGAGTTCATTTGAATTCACCAATCTTTGCATATGGAGCATAATTTGTCAGAACAATCTGAAATTATTTTATTTTGTTTTTAACTGAATAAGCAATGCCTACAACACCTGGCTCCTTTTCACTTTTTCTTTCCATCAAATTTACCACGAACTTTCAAAATAATCAATATTTAATGCAATCTTCACATTGCAAACAGCCTATATTTAAGAATCTGATGCCTCTGCGTCATTTAGATATGGAAAACCTTTTGTGCCAGTAAATCTTACAGTTATGCATAAAATGATTCATGCTTCTGGCAGGTTAAGATTCAAAATTATTTGTGTTCAACAAAATTTGCTTGATGGGAAATGTGAATGGCATCTCTCAAAAGACAATAAAACTATTTAAATGGAGTATTTACTAAAAACAATAGTCTATCGTCTTTCATTTATATTATACAAACATGAATTATATACTGCTCTCAATTTATACAAAAATATTCATTTTCACAAAATTAATCAGACCGTTTTCATAATTGACGGCCATTTCTTTGCCTTGAACATTTCTCTGGATGTGAGCAGTGACAGCAAAGTGATGCTGATGAGGCTTTTCACTTATACGGTCGGATCTGTTTAACCATTCAG